AATATATGCATACATAGATATTTTTTACATTAGAAAATATAGTATTAAATGTTTTGACTTCAAAATGTAGCATCATTTTTTGTACATGTTTAAGAGAGCATTAATAAATATTATATAATTTGGATAATATTTAGAAAATACAAAAATAGTAGAATGCCTTTTTTTTACTATTTTTTTTCCAAAGGTTTTCATGGTATTGAGGCCTGGGAAATCCAGGACTTTTGTAGTCAACAGTTGAAGTTTGCGCATATAAGAAAACAAAAGGTGAAACACAACAGGTGTTTACTTAACTTTTAAAAACTATATTTTACAGGATAAGTAAAAGTAAAATTCAAAGAATGCAAAGGTCATCAGCAGGATTTGAAGAAGGGAAATGAGAATGCTGCGGAAGGCATTTCTAGAGCAAAAGGATGAATCAGGGAGAACTGGGGCTATGGAGTTGCTGTGAAAGGTCAGTCAGTTTAGACTAGACTGCTTGTTTTGTGTTGTAGGGTAGAGGGAGCTACGGTGTAAGACCTAAAATGTAGGATATAGTCTAGCAATGAAAAAAGTTCACTTGTTTTTTTATACCGGGAACCCTAGAGCTGGGGGAAGACTTAGAACAGACATCAGGAGTGATAAAGAGAATTGCACCTAAACTCTACTTTGCAAATAGATTTTAAAGAATTTAAATTTTTTGCACCTTTTTGGATACGAAGGTACTAATCTTCTGGGGTAAGGTTACATGGGGGGCTTAAAAGTTAGTTTTATGGTGAGAGCTGAGAGGGAAGTTTTCTAAGTAGGTATCAAAGGGCTGGAGCTGGAGGGCTGTGGTGCATTTGGGGGCAAACAATAAAAAGCGTTTTGGGCTTCATAAGCATTTGACCTGGATTTTAGGACTGAATTTCCAAGTACCAATCTTAAAATGAGGATAATATATATTTTTCCTATTCATTTTGCCCAAGGCACTTGGCCTAAAGGCCATAATAAGCTACTGAAAGTAGCTGAATAAGAAAATAGGTCAGGTGCTTTGGGAGATTTCAAATGCATTTATCACATGGCATTAGGTAGGTAGGTAGACACATGCATACATACACAGAGATATATACTTAAATACACGTCCTACAGACTATTGCAGGTTAATTCTCTTTATATAGCAAAAGCTAACCATTGAGCCTGGTACTGATCAAACTACTTCACACAAAAAGTATTTTAACAAATAGTATTTCTAGGGTGTGTACTAATTGGTGGAGGGAATGGGCAGTAGGAAAAGAGAAAGAAGACAATGAATTGCCAGCCACTTACTCTTCTCGCTAGTGCACCTTATAGACAAGGGTTGTAGCTGAGCTAACTTGGACAGCCCTCCCCACAATACTGACGCCATCCCATCAAAGCTAAGCTCAGCACAAATGTCACCCAAACATCCAACTCCCCTTCTGATGTCACTGGATTCCACACTTCCCTGTCATCGCATTCCACATTTTCCTCTGTTGCTAGGCACCCTGGACACTCTTAATTTCCAAAGCTCCAGGTGCTGTTTTCCCTTGGGACTCACATACAGAGTCTTTGGTTCAAATGCTATGGTACCCAGGCTAAAACTTGAGAGAAGCACCATCGCCCCGGGCCTGGGAAACTAAAAGCCGCATATACCTACAGCTCTACACTCTAAACCCTCTGTGTAGCAGCCGGTATCCACCCACCAGCGACCACCCAGGATGGGTAAGGAAGCAGATTTCCCCTTTAAAGTCGTAAACTGGTGTGAATTGGTTAAAATAAAGAGGAGTCAGAGATTTGTGGTTTTTAATTCTGAAAAAGTCTCTTCAAGAAAGAGTAAAAACTGTTAACATGGTTACCCAAAACTAGACAATGAAAAACAGTTAATTTATCCTCAGTTTAATGTCTGTTCACGTCTTTATATTGAATTGTTCTAATAGAGACATGCAAAACTTTGTTTTAAGTTTTGATTTATAAAATAGTGGCATGTGACATTATTGATTATTTTACCATTTACATTATAAAATATGTGAATATATATTTGATGCAAATGAATAAATCATTTGTTCTTCCTAAAACACACTGATTTACTCAGGAATGAAATATGTAAAGCTGTTGAATTTAGTTACCTTGGTAACATCTGGAGTGAGCTACTTTGTCTAAAAATATTTTCTCCTTTATTCATTTATTGTTTGTACCAAAAGTATAAATACATGACTTTTATTAAAGACTCTCCTGATAAATCATAATGTTTACTCACCTGAAAAATGAATAACTGGTACACTCTTTAGTAAATATGTATGATGATTTCAGATTAAAGGAAGAAATATAGCATGTTTAAATTTTAACTACAATGGATATTGGATTTGTTTTTGGCTAATGTAGATAAGATTTTAAAATATAGTATTTCTTTAGGATTATTTATTCTTGTACTATATTGATAAAATTTCTTTCATGAAATGTTTAGTACTTTTAAAAGGATTTTAGCAGAAAGTGTTATATCACATTCTTCTTCATGAATTAAATAATTGGATATGCATATGTCCATTATGTTTTTCTTTGGGCTTTCTCAGAAAGAAATAACCCACAATGACCTTTCACAGCCTAAGGTTTGATACAACGTAAAAAAATGCAGAGTTTTTCAAATTGCATATATATTTACCTAATTATTTCAAAACGCTTAGATATGTCATCATTAAAAGGATGTTTTTGATTTTTAAGACTAACAGTATGGAAAGTACAGGTTCATTATTAATGGCTAGTTTCCTACATTCTCTTATGTATGTTTTCTCTCCACCTAGTCTTCCTTTGAATGGATACATAAACATAAAAGAGTAATTTAATGTATCCATTCAAGAGTAATAGAATGAATCTTTGAACCGCATTTAACTTTTTCTCAAAATAGTTCTAGAAAACTTATTTTAAAACACCACTTTACTGAAAATTAAACTTAATGTTCTTTGTTTTCTTTCCCTTTTTTTTTTTACTGGAGCTAGGGACCAAGGCCCTGTCTGCCCCACTGTAGCCTTGCCCAGCCTGTCCTCGTGGTTTTCCTGGTGCCCTCTTTTCTGCGCTGCTGCTGCTGCAGGTCGAGCTTTTGGCAAGGCTGACTCAGATGACTTGCAAATCTCTTAACGGGTCTCCCCAACTTCCTTGTCGTTGCCTTCACCTCATTCTCTTAATCAGAATCAGAGTAATCTCTTTAAAACATAATTTAGTTAACATTATTTTCCACAATAAATTAAAATTGCTTCTATTTGCCCTGAAGCGACAATCCAGGCTCTGCTGTACAGAGCTTCCCATCCCATTCTCCTCCTCCCTTTCTAGGTCTCTCTTTCTCAACTTTCTCTTTTGTGATCAGCCCTGCATATTCTTCTCTCTGTGACTTTGCTCCTGCTGATCTCTAGGCGGGAGATGCTCTCCTCCAGCTGCTTCACCTGGGGCTAAGCCCTACTCAACTTTCGGAACTCGGTCAGATGCCGCTGCCTTTTGGGAAACTTCTGTGATGTTTTTATACCTTGTTTTGGATCATAGCCTTTTTTTTTTTTTTTGCTCTGAATTTTAGTTGCATATTTATTTTTCTGCTTCTTTTAATTATCTGTGAACTTATTAAAGGCAGACTTTCTATAAGGTAAATATTTAACCCCCTTTAGCCAAGTGTATGCACTCAGTAAATGTTGAATACATGCATGAACAGGAGAATTTTACTACTCCTTCAGACTTTAAATATTATATCCATGAATTTAATTGATTAGAAGGCATTAAGTATTTCATTGTATCCTACAATAATAAAGCATACTTGAAAATATTCAAAAGTTAAACAAAATCACAAATATTGAATATTATTACTCTTACTCATATTTATATGGTTTCATCAATAGCCTTTAACTAATGAAAATATTTTCTTATCTTTGTCCTTCATAATCCTTTAAAATTAATAGCAAATTCTTATTATGTATGAAAAGATGAAATTAAGAGAAATAGAGGGTGATCATTTTATGTAAATTTGCTTTTTGCTTTCAGTAAAGTATCATAATATACTTTTTTTCTAAACAAGCTTATTTATTTTAAAGCCAGAAAAGTTTCATTGATGCTGCTTATTCCACTTCTTTCCTATTTTGCTTTTTTTCTATAGTTATCATATTTTTGTTATTGGAAAATTATATATGTTGTAGGTAATAATATTAGAAAATCCAGTGACATTTTGTTAAGAAGAAATCAATATTAACATTTTAGATTATATCTTTTCAATCTTTTCCCTCTGTATTTATGTGTTTGCTTTTTCCATTTACTGGTAATACTTTGATTCACATTTTCCTATGTCTCTAAAATGGAATGTTGAATGACTCCATAATATTCGAATCATTCCAACATGCATTAAGTAAGTCTTCTCTCTCTCTCTCTCTCTCTCTCGCTCGCTCTCTCTCTCTTTTGGTAATTTATATCAATTCTAAATGTTTGCTATTACAAACAACACTGGTATAAAAGTCTTTTTACCTTTGTAGAAACACACACAATGATTAAACTTCTTATGTTTAAAAGTCCCAGAAGTGTAATGGCTGGAACAAAGTTTATGAGCCCTTCTAATGTTTTAGATGCATGTTAAACACCCACAAAGCTTGAACCAATGTGAGCCCCATTAGCAGGATAGGCAATGCTTTTATCAGAGAATTTTTACCAAATATGGATATCCTCACTGGAAAAACAAAAGCTATTTGCAATATAATTGACAACTGTCTTATTCTCTTTGTTTGAATTTACTTTTAGAGAATACATTTGAGATTAAACTGTTATCTCTATTTTCTTCTTCTTTTTCTTATTTTACTCCACTTCTTCTTGTGCCTACATGTTTCTAATTAAAAGTAACAATGGCTGCTTTATAAGTTTATTCCTAAGGATAAATTATATATTATATGTAAAATTAGCACAATGCCAAGGCCATAATAGGAGCTCAATGAATGCTAGTTGAAGTAGAAACTGAATGGCACGTTAATTAAAACCAAAATCTAATTTTTTCTTTCCAACAGATGATTCTGCTGCGGAGAGCTTTAATGGCAATGAGACTCTGGGGCACAGTTCAAGTGCTTCAGGGGGAACGCACAGCAGGGAGACGGGTGACTCCAGTGGGGATGGCAAGACTGAGATGGAGCAGGACCAGCAGCCACTGAACCTGAGCGACGACAGTCCCCTTTCAGCGCAGCTCACTTCGGAATACAGAATAGATGATCACAGCAGTAATGGAAAAAACAAATATAAGAATCTTCTAATTTCTGACCTCAAGATGGAGCAAGAGGGGAGAGAAAATGGAAGCAAGGTAGGATCACATTATAATTTTCAGGAATTTTTAATTGGGTCATGAAGGTCACAAAGGAATACATATTAATACCAGAGATGGAGATTATTGTACAAATTCTAAAAATATTTTAAACAAATCCCAGTACTATATTACCAAGAAACTTATCATATATATTGTGTATCCATATAACATTAGCAATACATTTCAGGAAAAACTGTGGGCAAAATTAATCATATCTCAGGAAAAGCTGTTGGTTTGTTTTTATACATGAAATCACTTGATTTAATGTTTCTCATTTATATTATCCACAAATCTGTGTCTGGGAGTTTGTTGAGCTCAGATGGGAAAGTTTAGCTCTTAAAACACAATTTTAGACTACACCTAAGTCACTATCTAGTTTTTCCTAGTTTAGATAGGTGTAATAGTAATAAAGTTTCAATTAAATTCTTTAGTTTGCTTTAAAGACCAGAAGACTTTGGTCATTAATTTATTCCATATGCATAGGAGAAATGTGTCAGAGTTCTGGATTTAACATGCAGATTAAATAAGTACTTGAACAAGTAATTTACCATAAACTGTGTTATAAAAAAGACAGAAATTTGTTTCAGACATAGCATCTAAATATCTAGATTATTTAATTTTTTGTTTCTTTTAAAAAATTTTTATGAATTTATTGGGGTGAAATTGATTAATAAAATTATATAGGTTTCAGGTGTACAATTCTACAATACATCATGTATATACTGTATTGTGTGTTCATGATCACAAGTCAAGTCTCCTTGAATTACCATGTATCTCCCATTTATGCTCTTCTACTTCTCCCACACCCCCATTTCCCTCTGGTAATCACTATATTGTTGTCTGCGCTACGAGTTTTTTTTTTCTTTGCTTAACCCCTTCACCTTTTTCACCTACCCTTCTAAGCCCCCGCCCCTCTGACAGCTGTCAGTCAGTTCTCTGTACCTATGAGTCTGTTTCTATTTTGTTCGTTAGATTCTACTTGTAAGTGAAATCATATGGTACTTGTCTTCCTCTGACTGGCTTATTTCACTTAGCATTAATACACTCCAGGTCTATCCATGCTGTCGCAAAAGGTAAGATTTCCTTCTTTTTAATGGCTGAGTAGTATTCCACATGTAAATATACCACAGTTTTTTATCTATTCATCTACTGATAGGCACTTAGGCTGCTTCCCAAGTCTTGGCTATTGTAACACTGTAATGAACATAGGGACACATATATTCTTTCAAATTAGTGTTTCAGGTTTCTTTGAACATATTGCCAGAAGTGGAATCACTGGCTTATAAAACAGTTAGATTTTTAATTTTTTGACGTAACTCCATACTGCTTTCCACAGTGTCTGCACCAGTCTGTATTCTCACCAACAGTTCACGATGGTTCCATTTTCTCCACATCATTACCACTTGTAGTTGGTTAATTTACTGATGATAGCCATTCTGACAGGTGATTACCATCATTAAAATGTCCATACTACCCAAAGCAATCTATAGATTCGATACAGTTCCTGTCAAAATACCAATGGAATATTTCACAGAACTATAACAAACATTCCAAAAATGTATACAGAACCACAAAAGACCCTGAATAGCCACAGTAATCTTAAGAAAGAAAAAAACATTTCAAACTAGACTATAAGGCCATCATAATCAAAACAGTGTAATAAAGGCATAAAAAACAGACATATATAGAGATAAATGGGACAGAATAGAGAGCCCAGAAATAAATCCATTCCTTTATGGTCAATTAATATTTGACAAAGGAGGAAAAAAATGGGGTAAAGATAGTACTCATATATTCAACAAATGATGTTGGGATAATTGGACAGCTACATGCAAAAAATGAAACTAGACTACCTTCCTACACCAAGCAAGCAAAAGAATAAACTCAACATGAATTAAAGAATTAAATGTTAAACTTGAAAGAATAAAAATCCTAGAAGAAAACATAGGCAGTGAAATCTCAGACATTTCTTAGAACAATATTTTTCCTGATATACTGCTTTTGGCAATGGAAACAAAAAAAAAAAAAAGGCAAATGCAACTACATCAAATTAAAAATTTTTTGCACAGCAAAGGCAATCATCAATAAAATGGAAAGACAGCCCACTGAATGGGAGAACATATTTGCTGAAGATACATCTGATAGTGGGTTAATATCCAAAATTTATAAAGATCTTATAAAACTCCACACAAGAAATACAAACAATCCAATTAAAGAATGGGTAAAGAACCTGTATAAACACTTCTCCAAGGAGGGCATGCAGAGGGCCCATAGACGTATGAAAAGACGCTCAATGTAACCATCACTCATCATCAGAGAAATGCAAATTAAAACCACAAGGTATCACCTCACATTTAGATTCTTTTTATTAGAATAAATTACAATCCTCCTAACTGTTTTTTTAAAAAAATTAAACTTATATTACTACCAGTTTTAAATAGTACATGCTGGTGCCTTTGAGCTATAATTTTTGAAATTATACTTTTGAACACATGAGGACTTTCATAGAACATGTATTTTGCCTCCCCCACACCCCAGCTTCTAAGTTAGGGTTGTAGAACGGGCCTTTTGACATTGATCTCCTAAAAGTAAAATGTCCTAATTTGTATTAATTTCTGAATTTGCTGAGGCACTAGGCTTTCTAAATTGGCTCTATTTAAATCCTCTTACTTGCCTAAGGAAGTGTTGTTTTATCCTCTTTTAAGCAAATCACTAGACGTTATCAGACACTCAAGCACTGCTGCCTGAGGGAAGCTGCTGTAACTTTCGCTGTGATAAATGCACAAATATGCTCTTCAGTGGTTTGTAGCCAAGTCACAAGCACAAACAATTTTATACTCACTCACAGGATCTGAATCACTGTGTTACACTTTACGGAACAAAATAACCCTTAAGTTTTCCTGCCAGCCACATAATCCTGTCTTTATAAAACTTAAATAATCATGAAATGTCCCTTTTATGCCATGTGTCTGTTGAATATTTTTCTAAAATTACCCAGTGGTCTGCTCTTTTTTTTATCCCCTTGTTTATGATTACTGCATGAACTATGCTCATTAAAACACATTCTGGCGTTCATTAAACAGATAAAGTTATTCTTCCACTTCTAATAAAATAGAGCTATAAAAAAGCACAGGTTGTATGGGCTGCTTGTGAGGAATAAGATAAGAAATGAACCTGGGGAGGAGGAGGAGGTCCCCCTGAGGAAGTGGAAGGTGAATGGTTTGGTCGAGAATAAACAGCTCTCACAGTGGACTGGGGGGTAGCCAGAGAGGCAGGAGAAAAATCAGAAGGGTAGAGTATATCGAAGCTAAGCTAACTTAGTCCACTGCTCAAGAAAGAGAGTGGACAGCTCTGTGGACAACACTGAGATATCAAATCCGATGAAGATAGGAAGTAATTGAACTTGTGAGAGAACTTGCTTGCTAGCACATTGGGGTTAGAACCCAGAGGGATTGTATTCATTCCTTTAAAAAGGGACCTGGCACCCTTGCGCCAATGAAATATTTAGCCAGGACGACTCAAAGAGAGGAGAATCTTTATTCATGAGGCTCTTTGATAAATAGTTTTGGTAAAGAAGGTACGTACATGTAAAAAAGTTTCTTAGTGAAAATATAGGCAAAGAGAGATTCCTGTGTTAAAATATTGAGAGTTCAAAGTAAGAAAATACTATTTCTATTGAATGAAGAAAGAAAGCTTTCTAGAGGAAGTGAGTCTTGAGCTTTGAAGGAAATACAAGATTACCATTTTTTTTTTCCCAGAAGGAGTCTCCTGTTAGACACTGTGAAAGGCTTGGAATGCAGACAGGGAAGAGGAGCTGATCTTCTAGGTTAGGGAACCATTGTCCATTCAGAACTAGGTATGACTTCATAACATGATATTTTAGGAAGAACCTTATATTTGCAAGGTAGACTATTTGCCACCCGTTAATGTATTCACCAACTATTTACTGAGGGAGTCCTACATGCCTGACATTGCTGTGGAAAACAAAAATATGGAAATGAACAAGCAGGGTCCCTGCCCCTCAGAAGCTTATAGTCCAGGAGGAAAGGTAGAAAAACTTGTGATTATAACCTGATTCCATAAGTAATATGATGGAGCTACTGCAGGGGGAAATGAGAGAACAGATACAGGTACCCATGGGACTACCGTGATTCTCAGGGAAGACTTCCTAGAGAGATGGATGCCAGGGATGAATATGAAGGGCAAGTACAAATTATTCAGATGGAGAGCATTATTTATGGTAGAGCATGTTTTGAGGCATGGAGCCATGGAGAGCATACTTGGCTTGGAGATTTGTAAGGAGGTTAGCATGGCTACAGCAGAGAATATGTGTGGAGGAATGGAATATAAAGAGGCTCCATCAGCAAAGAATTTGTAGGTCAGTTGAAGGACTCTGCATTGTATCCTACAGGTAGAGTTTAGCATGATAAGGTTGTGGTCAGCTTGGAATTTTAGAAAAATTTTTCTGGCAACATTATAGTGGATGAATAAAATATGGACTAGGTAAAAACGATTAAAACTGGTTAGAGAGCTATTATGGCAATTCAGAAAGAAAATAGTACAGAGATAGTGTTACTTTCATTCTTCTCACATTGTATTTGTAAGACCACCATAGAGTTCCATACGTTGTATATTGCCAAACTCCTGGAAATGTCTTTCATATAGAGTAAAATATGAATAGCCCCTTTACCTCTGTGCATCCCATTAAGATATAAATTCCCTAAGAACGATGTCTACCTTGTTGACTGTGGTATGTCTAGCACCTGCCTTAACATCTGGTACATAGTAGTTTCTCAAATATTTTGAAGAAATAAAGTTATAATGAATGTGGAAAGTGATGCAGAGAACATTCTAGAATTGCTACAGAATTTTTGGCTGGTTGCTAGAGTGGATGGTGATTTCGTTTACCAATATCCAGAATGAGAAACATGTGAAGAAGCAGTTTTTGACATGTGAAATTTATGGTGCCCATGCAATGTACATTGGATTTGTTTAAT